TCTTTTTCTTTTTTTTTTTTTTTTTTAAAAAAAAAAAAAAAAAAAAAAAAAAAAAAAAAAAAGCTTTTAAGCTGGGTGTGATCGTTTACACCTTTAGTCTCAGCACTTGGGAGGCAGATGTAGGCAGATCTCTGTGAGTTCGAGGCCACCCTGGCCTACAAAGCAACTTCCAGGCCAGATGGAGCTACAGGGAGGCCCTGTCTCAAAAAGACTTAAAAAAAAAAGACGACGATCACATTTCATGGTAGTGTTAATGTTAATGCAAAACATAGATAAACACAGATTTCACCTCCAAGTGAGTAAGAGTTTATTCTGGAGCCAAACATGAATGATCAAGGCCCAAGAACACAGTGTCACCTCAAATGCTATGTTCTAACTTGGTAACTGTTTCAGAAAGTGTTCATTGTAGTAAAACAAAGGAATGTCTTCAATCTAGGCCCTTCTCTGGTAGAACCCAGAGAGGAAGGTTCTAGCAAAGCATAAAAATCTCCGTCACAGATGCTGACGTTCTTATCCTCTGGGTGGAAGCAAGCTAGTGGTTTGTTAGCATATTCCAAAAGATTGTTACACCCTACAGTGCAAGGTCACACCTCCAGGTGGGCAATGAATGGCTTATTAAGGGGGCTAAAGGGTAATTTGGGACCTGTAAGATGCCAGCTCTCCACAGTTCTAGAAGTTTAGTCAGCCTTGTAACCTTAAACACAGGGGTAAGGTGTTTTCTCTGGAACTTGAAGCAGGTAGAGATATGCCTGACTTGGATCTCACTCTCAGTACAACTCTCAAACCATATTCGTTGATGTTTGCAGTAGCTTTTTGAAATGAACATTTTTTATAGTGTTATCTCCAAATATACATTCTATGTCTTTTTTTTTTTCCTTTTGTCTTTTTGAGACAGCGTGAGGGTGGGAATGTACACACCTATTTATGCCGTGTGAAGGCCAGAGCTGTCTCTCATGGACCCTGGAGTTAACCATTTCAGCTAGACTCCAGCAAGCCCCCAGGATCATATGCCCTTCCCACAGGCATATGCTGAGTTAAAGACACACAGTACCACCACCACGCCTGTCTTTTCCTTGGGTGTTGGGAATCTGAACTGGGTCCACATTTTGTGTAACACTTTTCTCACCCATATGTCTTCCCGGCCCATATTCCATGATTTCTCCATGATTTTCCCAGTTTCCTTTCATTTTACCCGGATGTATTTACTCTTGAAATTTTTTTCTGTCCAACTTTGGATTAAATTAAATGTCTGATGACATAATTGTTTGCTTGAACTGAATCCAAACCCTGAAAATGGTACTCACCCACACAAGCCATTCCTGGAACATCACCTGGACAATGAAAACCAGACAGTATTTGGTTTGCTGCATGTCATAACAGAACTGTTGGGCCTAGACTACTATTTAGAAGATCCTTTTATAAATAATTATTAGTGTCTGGTTCCGCTGTTGCTGCTGCTATTTTCCCAGTCTTTATAGTGTCTCTCCGTTATCACATATCTGATACCTTATCTGACCTGGGCTTTATTTATTTGTTTGTTTGCCAAAAGGTTTATGATCATTCTGTGAGTGCTGTGTCTTTAGCTCAGCACTTTTGACAGCATTGATAGGAATTCTAACTGTGGACCTGATGCCCATTTGGTACCATTTCTAATTGTGACAGTTAAAGTAAGGAATGGTTCTGAGAGGGTCGTATGGAAAGGGCCCCTCAGTTTAGGCCTAAGACCATGTCTGTCTCAGGTGCTGTCTTTTCATATCAAGCATGGCACTTTAGACTTTCTTCTCAGGAACTCTGCAAGAGCCACCAGTGCCCTCAACTACTGAGCCATCTCTCCAGTGCCCCCACTCCCATCCCTTTAATTTTTATTTTTGAGACTCCCTCCTCTTAGCTCAGGCTGGCCTAGAGCTCATTACCTGACCTAGCCCATGCTGACAATTCTTTCTGTGTCCCTTGTGCTGTAATTGCACAGGTTAAGCTGGTTTGTACCGGATGATGACTCCCTGTGAACTTTTGTTATGAAGGACAGAAGCAGTCATTATTGTAGCCCTCATACAGTGTTCACTGCTTGTCAGATATAACACCTAGGGATAGGCTTTCTTGTTAGGAACAGTTGTGGCTTGGAGGGGCATGTTTTCATTTTTATCTTATGTGTATGAGTGCTCGGCTGCATGTATGTATGTTCACCAGGGGCCTGTGGAAGCCAGAAGAGGGCATCAGATCTTTGGAACTGGAGTTACAGGTTGTTGTTAGCTGCTATGTGGGTGTTGGGAACCAAACCCAGGTCCTCTGGAAGAGCAGCCAGTGCTGTTAACCACTGAGCTGTCTTTCTAGCCTCATAAGCAGTAATTTTTTTCAAGCATCATTTTTTTTTTATCCCTTTCCCTTTTAGAGGGATAGACCACTCCATTCGTGGTATTCTAGAGTTACTGTCTTCCTTCCTCCCTTGAACACCTAATACCCAGTCTTTGTATCTAGAAGTGTTGGTATGATCTCCAGGCTTGGTTTGAATAGTCCTGAGGGACACAGTCAGTTGTAAGTACTCTGAATTGGTGTAATATTCTTGTCCTAGTTGTTGAACGTTGGATCACGGAGGTCTCAACCTAGCCAGAGAAGGGAGCCCAGAAAGATCATCACCGTTTCCGTAAAAGAAGATGTGCACTTAAAAAAGGCAGAAAACGCCTGGAAGCCCAGCCAGAAACGAGATAGCCAAGCTGATGATCCCGAAAACATTAAAACCCAGGTAAGAGCAGCCATATACCTTGTTGTTCTGGAACTGTAACAATAGGTTAATTCCTCCATAAATTACATGGACAGGTTCCAGTTGGAGACTTTTTGTCCTTTTAGCTAATGGTGTTATTCTGAAGGCCGTGATGAGTGACAAGCTTCTGTTTTCTCTGCGCTTTGGTAGCGTGCTTGCCTAGCATGGGCAGGACTGTAGTTTGATCCTAATACTGCAAAGCAAGGAACTGCTCTCTGTCCTTTCCCAAAGCACGCTCCATGTCTAGAAGTTCATTCAGGACTTACCACTCTGCCTTAATACTCTCTTTTTTCTAGGTTGTTTTTTGTTTTTTGTTTTTCCTTTCAAGTTTTAAGAAAGTTTTAATTATTTGCACATATAATGGGCTTCATTATGATATTTTTATATGTAGATAATGCATTTTGGGGGGGTGGACAGATGGCTCAGCGGTTAAGAACACTGACTGTTCTTGCAGAAGACCCAGATTTGAATCCCAGCACCCACATGGCAGCTAACAACTGTCCGTAACTCCAGTTCCACGGGGTCCAGTAGCCTCTTCTGTCCTCTGTGGGCATTGCATGTCACGGGTGCACTTAACTACATACAGGCATAACACTCATACACATAAAATAAAAAAAATTTTTTTTTAATTAAAAAAGAGCCAGGCGTGGTGGTGCACGCCTTTAATCCCAGCACTTGGGAGGACTGACTCTCTAGAATGGACTTCCCACCTCCCCTGAGGGCCCACTGCAGTCTTGACTCCACGCATGGCTCTGTTGATGTTGGACCTCTCTCACTCCTAGGCAACAAGAGATTTTCCATCACTTTTCTGTTACTCTTCTATATCCCCAATGTACCTTCACCTGTGCCCTACAGAAAATGTAAATCACCTAACTGAACTTCTAGAGATTAAAAGTGCTTTATTCCCACCACTCAGGAGACAGAGGCAGGTGGATCTCTGTGAGTTCAAGGCCAGTCTGGTCTACATATTCCAGGACAGCTGGGGCTCCAGGGAGACCCTGCTTCAAAAAGACAAACAAATAAAAGGAAGACCCCTTCCTTTTCCAGCTGGCCCTTCTACTCCGTGTCCAAGTGTGAAGCAGTGACTACTCACTTCTCCTTAGAGTGTTTCTTTACATCCTCATCATGTTTCTTCACCTGTGTGTATCTCACTGTGCAGTGCTGTAACTTTCTTGTCAGACATGAATTTCTAAGAAGCTAGAATTCAGAGACCTATTTTTGAGACACCTCTGGGTCTCTTTCTTGTACGCATGTCCCTGCTGCTCCTGACTCACCTACCCTACCTGACTACTCACTTCTCCTTAGAGTGTTTCTTTACATCCTCATCATGTTTCTTCACCTGTGTGTATCTCACTGTGCAGTGCTGTAACTTTCTTGTCAGACATGAATTTCTAAGAAGCTAGAATTCAGAGACCTATTTTTGAGACACCTCTGGGTCTCTTTCTTGTACGCATGTCCCTGCTGCTCCTGACTCACCTACCCTACCTGACTACTGAGTTCCCCATTTCTCTGCATGTGAACTTTAAAAAATTATGTTT